AGGTTGGGGTATATACATTACATTGGAAGAACACTTCTCATAATCCTCTGGATAGCAGGCTCTAAACTGAATCCACTTTAAAATGATCAGAAGTTAAGCAGACCATGTATGCCTTTTTTAAAAGGTTTTTTCCTTAGAGCAATATGTTTGCCAGAGAGAGTTAGAGACAGTGAGAGGGAAAGTGAGAAATCACCTCCCAGGGTGGTTGACCATACTGCAGTCCCTTCTCTTCCATCCCTTCCTCCTGGGATTTAGGGCACACATGCACATGTGCCTGGCATGATTTTCAAACTGCCTGGCCTGGGAGTCAAATTGTGGTTAGCCAGCTGGGACTCCAGCACTTTAACCACCATGCCACCTGCTGGCCTTGCCACTTATACCTTTTAGAGGTAGTTTTAAACTGATCTTCCACAAGCTGAAGTCGTGACATATTTTTTTTCATGTTTTTATGTAATAATGACTTTTCTGACAACCCAATATATCCTCTATTGAACCATGGATTTCATCACTAGAGATTTATGTCTTTTTTGAGGATAAGTTTACTCTTATGACTTAAAGGTTTGGAAATTAAAGAGGATCTTAGGTAAGTAAAGTTTCTTTGTTGGGCCATGAGCCCTAGTGTTTAAGGGAGCCGGCTGTCTCATGGCCAACCAATTGGTTTGAATCCCTGACCTAGGCATGCGCATGGGCATTATTCTCAAAATCTTGGAAAGATGGAGAAGTGGAGAAGACAAAATTGTGGCATGACCATGCCCCATTTAGGGGTGCTTTCTCACTCTCTCTGTCTTTGTCTATCTCTCATCGATGAGAACATGAGCCCTCTGACAAACTGAAAACAAAATCCAGGTTTCATTGTAGTAGCAGTATTAGGAGTGTGCGGGTGTGGAGGAAAAAACTCAGTATTTTAGACTTTATTACAAACCTGTCACTAATTTGTGGTCTGGATTAGCTTTTGTGTATGGCCCAACTTAAGGCAGGAGAGAGAATGATCTGAAGGATTTTGTCTAAAAATTACTTTCTTGGTGCCGATGGTCCAAAAGTGAGGTATACAGTTGAAACAATGGCATTTGTCTTTTCACAATCATGACTTCCAGCCCTTCTGATTCCTAGAAGCTAAATTTTAAAGTAATGCTGAAAATAGTGACTTCTCTGGTAAATTTAGCTTCTAACCTACCCTGCCTGTCCTCATCTACTTCTAAATATGTGGATTATTTGTAAAGATGGGGCCAGATTGAGCATCAGTTGATAAAAAGCATACTTGATCCAAATAATCATTCACTTTTTCTTTTCTAGAGGATTAATACAAATAAGGATAATTAATACAAGTAAGGATAATTTTGGACACAAGGTACATAGTAGGAAATTAAGACAAGGGCTATATGTATTAATATGTCATCATACTGCAAATTTCTAGGGGAATTGATTTCAGAATCAGTGTTTATAATGTCCAAAGAAAAACAATTGTTTATTTGATTGAAGTATACAAACACTGAAGGATGTCTATAAAGTGTATATTTTACCAAATGGTTTAAACGGTTAAATACTGATTTTTACAGAAAATAATAAATATTATAGTATCATTAATATTGTTTATTCTAATGTTATTGAGACAATGTGCTAAGCACTTTACATACATTATTTCATTCTAAGTAACCTTAGGCATTTTACAGAGGAGGCAACTGGAATTTAGCAAGATTCAATAACTTGCCTGAGATCCAGTTTGTACTAAGTGACGAAAGCATCATAATGACACTCTGGAACAGAATGGGAGGTGGACTTTACTACTGAGAAGTAAACTGGGGGAGAAATTGTGGGTCTGGATATTGGTGAAGTAGGTGTATATGAAAAAATGACTTCTTCCCTCTTTAATTCTGGAAGCAATTGGTAGAACTTAGGAAGAACCTTCTTCGAGGAGCCTAAAATGGTTGCATGTCAGTTGGGATTGTGCTTTAAAATATTCTTAGCCAATAAAAATAAAATCTTTTCACATGAAACCTTTTAACTCTAGATATTAGGATGGTGAATTAGCCTCTTTTTTCTTTTCACTCTATTCATCTTATTTCTTATAAAACTTGTACTACAATCACAATAAGTCTGAAAAGAAAGAAATTCATATTGAAGAGAAAAATGTTTTTTTCTTCCTTTTGGAAAGTGTTAAATGGTGACTCCTTGACTCAGATATTTGTCAAATAAGTGAGTGTGTGAATCTGGAGGATTACATGTGGTTTCCTGAAATACAGAATGTTCGTACTTCTCAACTGTTACAGAACATTGGGATGTGTAAGAAGAGTGTGCTAAAAGTTCAAAAAGAACTGTGGCCAGTGGCATGTTCACCCATGAAGTAGCTCAGAGATACCAATGGTAACATTTTTATTGGTCATCTTTTAAAACAGTTTATAAAATGAAATATTACTGTATGGACAAAGAACCCTTGTGTTGAGGAAATCTGTGCAATGAAAAATTTGTCTACCTGGTTACCAGATCTTTATTTTATTTTTATTTATTTATTTTTTTTGAGAGGATTTTGCTATAGGGCGCTCGCCAGACAGACAGAGAGACAAAGAAATAGAAAGCGAAAAATCATCCCCCGGGGGGATGGCCATGCTGCAATCCCTTTTCCTCCATTCTCCTCTAGAGATCTTGGGTACGCATGCACACGCGCCTGGCGTGAGTTTTAAGCCACCGGGTCCTAGACGCGAACCGCAGTTGACTATATGGGAGTCCAGCAACATAGCCATTACGCTAACTGCTGGTCCCATCAGATCTTTATTCTTAGCTCCAGACAAACTAAAACAAACATTTCCTTATATATATTTTATACATTACCTTTTTACTCACCTTGTCGGATACACCCACCCCACCCCCAATTTTTATCATTAGAAACTGCATTTACCAGGACCAGTAGATGGCATAGTGGTTACGTTTCTAGACTCCCACATGGCCTACTGCAATTCAAGTCCTGACTGGTGGCTTGAAACTCACCAGGCACATGTGCATACACCCAAAATCCCAAGAGGAGAATGGAGGAGAAGGGATTTCGGAGTAGTCATCCCCCCAAGGGGTGACTTCTCACTTTCTGTCTTTGTCTCTCCAGCAAGCATACGCATCCTATAGCAAAATCTCTCTCTCAAAAAAGAAAAAAGAAACTGTATTTATCTTGACAAACATAAACTTTTCTATGTATCTTTTTACTTAGGATTATTAGTTTTTTTTTTTTTTTTCTTATGAGAGAGAGAAGGAAAGAGAGAGATAGGAAGAGGCAGAAGAGAGACATTTATTTTTGACAGGGGCTCATGAAGTTGCAATTCCCCCACTTTAGCCTCCCAGAACCACAGACATGTGCCACTGACCCTGACTGTGTATGTTGGCCTGGGAACTGATCTTAGGTCTCCCTTGCAGTACCAGCCACACACAGTAGCACCTTACTGCATGTGCCACCTTGGCTGGGCCTAGTGTTCTGTTCCTGTAAGCCATCTGAATTTTCTCTAGACTTGATTTGTAATATGTTCAGTGAAGACTAACTTATCATAGGTTTGGTGTTTATTAGCAAATTTGGTACATTTCAGTTTGCTTTCTTTCTTATCCTACATGATACAAGATATAATTACTGCCTAGTACGAAATAGCTGAAATGAAAAAGGCAGCAAGAGAGGATACTGGTTTAACTTGGAGTTCATCATCTATCCTCTTTTTCTTACATACGTCTCAGCTGTAAAAGGGAGCTAAAATTCACTAACGTAACTAATATAGTAAACCTTTTTTTCCTTTCTTGATTTGAGACTGGAAGAGGGGGTTTGTTCAAATCTTTATGGAAGCAAGACATTAAACAATACTTTTAATTTGCAATTAGTAGTCTTTGATGCTTCTTTGAATTGCACAAATTTTTTTCATCATCAGGGTTGTTAGTTATCACATCCTATTTTCTTGACATTTAAACAGATAAAACAGACATTTCCAGGAATAAAAAAAAAATAGAGTAAGTGATTAATTGTTTTTTATAAGGTTTAGAATTTTACTCAGTTTTGAACTTTGGTTCCTGAATCTGTTTTTTAAAATCTATCTGTTTATCTTTAAAGCATATGTCATCTTAATATAGTATCTTGTAGGCTTTCTATTTTGTGGCATGAGTGGGTTGGGTAATTAACCTAGCAGGAGGGAAAAATTGATAATATTTTTACTTTTTAAATGAGTGTGATCTGAGTTTTCATTTACGAGATTGTCAAAGATTTAAAAATTAGTTGATATGTGGAACTAGGGCGAGTGTGGAGAAACACTCTTATACTGTTTGAAGTGTGTATTGGTAGTACAGCTCTGGAGGGGGTGAGTATTCTTATCAAAACTGGAAGTGCATGTACCCATTGACCTAGCAATTCTACTTCTAGGCTTCTGTCTTTGAATGTGTATGTATAATGGATGTATAAAAATGTTCTTTGCTTTTCGGTAATGAGTGAAGATACTCAGTATTTGTCAGGTAGGGACATATACTATTTGTCTTTCATTGCCTGGCTTATTTCATTTGGCATTATATCTGATAGATTCGTCCAGAAGTTGCAATTAAAAATGTTTTCTGTAACATTACTATATTAAATGAAAAATAATAAAAATAGATTATTAGGAAAATGCTAAATATGTTTTATCTATATCCAGATTCATCTCATTTTTTAGAAAAGAACTATTCCTAAAGAGAATAATATTCATGTATGTGTTTTGATTAGGAATATTCTATAAGTTAGCGTATTAAATGAAAGAAACAGTTTGTGTCTGGGGAGATGTGTATTTGTGTGTGCATAGCTTCCTTTTTTCAACCCCTCATATAAAATGCATGTACACACAAACCTCTGTGTGGATGTATGAAAGGGTATAAAAGAACCCATTGGTAGCACTTGACTGCAACTATTTTTTTCTGCTGTTTTAATTTTTTTACCATCTGAATATGTTATTTTTAACAACTGAAAAGAAAATTTAGCTTAATAACCAAGTTGTTTTTTTCCCCCTTTTTAGGACTCAGCCCAGGAGAGTGTTATTACTCGAGATATTCATCGTACATTTCCTGCACATGATTACTTTAAAGACACTGGAGGAGATGGTCAGGAATCACTCTACAAGATCTGCAAGGTCAGGCCCTACACCTTGCTTTTACTAACATATTTTACAGGGCTGTATTTTAGCAACCCACCTTAAAGATGTTTAGGGTTTTTTTTTTGTGTGTGTGTGGTCTCTATTTTTTTAAGGAATTATTTTCATTTAACTTTATTGTTTATTCATTTATTTATTTTAAGTTGACCAGAGAGAGAGAGAAAGAGAGAAAGCAAGCCGTCAGGTCTAGGGGCCACTGTTGGGCATGTGAGAATCCGGTGCCCTTAACCACCACACCACTTGCTGGCCCCTTGGTCTTTATTCCTATCTGCATTATCCTCAGTGCTGAACCTGGAAGGTGACTTTTTGGCTGCATGTGCTCAGTGCCTTCTCATGCAGAAGTAGCACGCTGCAGCCTCAGTTTAGCTCTCCTACTAACAAGAAGAACAAGTCTTCTCAAGCTGCAATATCAAAGTTCAGATGACTTTCAGTTAACTCTGTCCTTCTGACAAGGTCATGTAGCAGTTGTCTCAATTTTTTGACAGTAGGCAAGTGTAAGAATTCATACGGGATTTATTGTTGAAGAGTGGAAAGTTTTGTGATACTGTTGTTATACTCTGAGTTATGTCATGTGTCTTTGTACAATCTTCGTATCACATTTTGAAATCTTTTCTCTCCCTCATTATTAGTACACCTAAAAAAATCCTGATATTCAGTAAACGTGCTCTCTGCTCTGTCTGTCAGTAGAGAATAACTGTCAAGTTATTAATTTCTCAAGGTTATATCAGAAGTGCAGAATGTTGTATATTGGGGCATACTCTGATCATTCTTACCTACCATTCCAGTAGAGATTGTTAGAGAATGTGAACTGCACAAAAATCTCGTAATAGTATGGGGAAAGTAAACACCCTGGCTAATTTGTAAATTAGATAATTAGCTCTCGAATAATGAAATTTAGCCTTTTTTAACCAGTAGCAAAGATTAGATAGCAGCTAGTCAGAAGTATATTCACAAATTTATTTCATTTCATATTTATTGTTTTAGGAAAAAATAGCACTTACAAAAGCACTCGCCTACATATGGTAACCAAGTAGTGTTGACGTTTAACTCTGCAAATGGCACAGCTTTCATTAAAGTCCTTCTCGTATGTTGGCGGTTTTGCCTCATTCCCACTCTTGTCTTCTTTTTTCTTTGTTTCTCTCTCTCTCTCAAACTTTTTTTTAAATCTAACCATTTTGGAGGATTGTAAATATATCTTGATCGGAAGTCTATTTTTATATGGATGCATCATTCAGAGAAGAAATACACAAATAACTTAAAATCTGAGCATATATTGATCTCTGCAAAGCAATCATAATTGGTTTATAAAAGTACCAAAACTATAGGATACCGCAAAATAATATATAAATAATATAATTATCATGTACTTGTAAAAGGCAAAAGTAATTACTAAAGATGTTTTCTGCCTCATTTATGATCCTGCATGCTAATCAGCTTCTGGCTGTTTAAAGAAGATAAGAAAATTTATACAGTTTCTAAGTTTATTTAGAAGGATCTGGCTTGTTGCATGCAAAACATTTTTTCCCCTACCATTTAGTATCTTTTCAGCCAATCAGTAACTTTTCCTCAATTTTTCTCTGATTGATTCTTGATACTTTCTTCACTTAATTGAAACAGATGGCTCTGTGTGCTTACAGGCTCTGACTTATAATTTTGTTTCATTGTAGTAAAAATAGTATTTGTCTCATTATATAATATTTAGATGGGAAATATCTGAAGCATTATTAAACACACAAAAAGTTACTCCTTTGGAGGCTTTAAATAGTTGCTATTCTTTGCTTTGGTGTTGCAGATAATAATCCAACTTTGAGTTCATTAGAAGATACTCAGTATATTCCCACAGCTCATGTAGCTATTTTAGATTATCAGTGTACATTTTACAATATGATTAGACAGCTTAAAGCTCTTCCTGAGTGAAGAACATTATCTAACTGTAGATCAGAGATACTTTATTATCGAGAGTTATCTTTTTCTGAGAGAGAGAGAGAGGTTTTTTCCCTAGAGGGCACATAACCATTACACCATCTGCTGGTCCCTCCTTTGCTTTTTATATTCAGATTGGGCCATAGTGTTTTATTTTATGACCACCTTTCCTTACTTGTTTGTAAACTTTAAAGCCAGTTGGTATAGTCTCACTATTCTAACATTTTTATTTCTAGACTAGTATCTAGCATGATACCCACACTCAACAATTAAGTTTCATTCTGGATACCCCACACAGAACTAAATTAATGCTGATGCTTTGTTTCTAATCAGCCCTTGGACCAGCAGGTGATATTTGGTTATGTCGCTGGATTCCCGTGTTGTCTACCACGGCTTTAAACTCATGTTGGTGTGTGTGCATGCATGCCAATATCCCCAAAGGAAAATGGAGGAGAAGGGATTGCAGTGTGGTCATTCTCACTGTCTCTCTCTCTCTGTTGAGTGTATGCACCCTATAGCAAAAATCCCTCTTAAAAAAGAAGTATATAATTTTTAAATAAGGACAGTTTAGCCTTTTCTTTACCAAGCCTTGTTCTTTTTCTTGTCTTACTGCACTAATCACAGCCTCCAGTATAGTGTTAAAATGAAGCCATTTAGTCAACATCTTTGTCTTACTCCTGATTTAAAGGAAGTGCATCTACTGATTCACCAGGAGTGTTGCATCCTATTCACATTAGCAACATATTTATAGGCTTTTTTAAACACAGTACCTTACATGCATTATACTAATTTCACATTTATAGGGTACTTTAACATCTGTTACCTCATTTGTTTTTCTGCCAGTTCCTCATCAGTAGAACCTAGTAGAGATACAATATGCTGTGCTCTTAAAAGTGAGCAGAAATGATTAGGAACATTTTAATTATAATAAGTCTGGAAAGCAGCTCTAGTTTCAAGGATACAAGTCTGACTTTGTAGTTGAAAAGTTTTCTGTAGCTCTGGTGAAATGAGAAATGATCTGAATTGTCAGATTAGAGGGAAGACCGTTAAAAATTTACTGTCATGTTTAAATGGCCCTGTCAATTCCAGTTTCGCCTTTTAATATCTTGTTCAGAGTAAGAGGAAATAAAAGTGCTTCAAAGTTTCTTCAGTTGTCATACATTTATATGGGGATAGTTGAGCTGATGGTATAATATTAGAATTCATAGATTTCTACAAATGAAAGTTTTGCAAATGTATTGAAAGATTTCTGCAAATGAAAAGGTTTGATCCTTTCATCCCTGTATTTCCTATTAGGTCAAGAGCATATTTTAAAAGAATGTCCTTAAGAAGGAAGGAATATAGAATATACTGCCATCTCAAGTATCTTTGGCACTTTTCTAATTTATATGTGATATAAAAATCTGTTTTAAATTGGAAGAGCAGTTGATAAAGTTTAAAGGACTCTAGGCATCAGGGGATCTGGTTTTAGTTCAGATTTTTCACTAAGTAGATTTAAGACTTTGAGAAAACTATGTTTTGAATTATTTGCTCAGTAAGGGTATGGAGTCTGCTAAGATTGTAATCACTAGAGAGAGAGAGAGAGAGAGCAAGAGTGAGAGTGAGCACCACCCCAGAGGGTGTGGTTATATTGCAATTTCTTTTCCTCCATTTCTCCTTCCTGTCAGGATTTTGAACATGCACTTACATGTATCCAGTGTCTTCAAGCTACCAGAGGTCAGGCATCCAAACCAAGGTCAGCCATATGGGATCTGGCTCCCAGTGCACATTGCTTAGCCACTGTGCTACAAAATGCCCCTCAAGCATGTTTTTCTATTCTTTGTGAACATACCCTCTTTTCCTTCGGGTCTAGATAGCTTTGATTTATGGCAGCCAAGCCAGCTCTATGGCTTGGTGGCTAAGTAGCCAGATCCTACCATGCTGACCATAGAAACCCAGACCCAGAAGCTTAAAAAGCACAACAGGTAAATGTGTATGCATATCCAAAATCCCGAAATGAGGTAGAGATGAAGGAGAAGGGATTACAGTGTGACCATTTCCCATGGGGGTCACATTCTTTTTTCTCCCTGTCTTTGTTTCTCTTGCAAGAACACATGCCCTCTAACATACACACACAAAGAATTATAGTGGCCTTCTAAAGTGAATCCAGAAATGGGCTGCTGAGAAATCCTTTGAACCCCTGGGAAAGCAACTTCCTTAAAGAAAAATAAATTCTTCCAAGTCTTACATGAGGGTTGGAATACCTTCCTAATACTGATTGAAATAATCACAAATAATAGAAATTCATAAAGCCCTGTGGTTCATGCACTTCTGTACATGTTGTTATTTTATCCCTGCAGTTACTCCATAGGCAAAATAGAATTTCTTACATTTTATGTAAAAAACTCAGAAAAATTGAGGCTAGTAGGTGTCATAGTGGTTAAGGTGTCAGATCCCCCCACCCCCATGGCTGACAGTGGTTCTAGTCTTGGATCTGGCAGCTTGAAACTGATGCTGGGCATGTGTGCCTGGGTACCCAGAATCCTGAGAGGAAAATGGAGACCTGAAGAAATTTAGAAAAAATAAATTATTGGTCTAAAATTATATAGTCACTAAATAGCAGAGACTAACTAGAACCAATAACTTTTACTTACAGATTTTACATATTTAGAGACGTTTTATATTTATAGACTACTGCATAGATTCTGCAGTATGTCCAGAATACTATTATTATTATATATGTATATTGAACAAGAAGGATTATAGGTTATTATTTTTAATAAAATTATAAAAATTATAATTTATTATTTTTCTTACATTTTTCAGTCTGACTAATGTTTCCTCTTCTTATCCCTCACATCCACTCTCCATCACCCTCTCTCTACCATCCACTATCCTCCCTTAGAGTCTCTAACATTAACACACATTACACAAAATTTTAATTTAATATTAAATACTTTCCAGAAGGCCACCTGGTGGTGTGGTAGTTAAGGCAGCTGAATCTCACATGGCTAACTGTGTGGTTTGAGTTCTGGGCCCAGTGGCTTGAAAAACACACCAGGTGCAGGTGTGTGTGC